ATTAATTTTATCTGCGAGGTCTGGTCCGATGTTTGAAAAGTGATCGTTAAACGCATCAGCAATTTTGCTAGGGTCATTAATTAATACGCCATTCAAATCAACCTCGCCAATGTGAGGGCTTTTCCTATTTTTAGAAGTAAGTTCATTAATGATCTTCCAGGTCTTATTAGGATTGTCTTTATTATCATTGAAAGAATTTTTGAAATAGGCTTGCTTTGCGTAGAAAATTTCAGAATTAACAAAATTACGCATTTTCTTAAAAGAAAGCCAATCTTGAGTATCGTTGGAACGAATTGCTTTAATTTTTAGGACATCTCGCCTATGCATTTTATCTTTCAAAAGAGATGTGATCCAAGGCGATTTAATAGCCTTAACGCGCTTAGCTCGAATTGGGGCGTGCTTATCTGCGACAGAATTGAATGTGGCTTTCCAAGCATGCCACATGTCATTAGGGTTTTCGTACTGATTGATATAGTTCCAACTCTGTTGACTAATATCATTACGAAATTTAGTAGAATCAAAGTTTTTAAACTTTCTGTAGTTTATTGAAGAATGTACCCCCGTCGATGAACCCACAGAAAGTTTGCGAAAGGCGTAAATAAGACTATGATCGCTTATACTCACATGAGAAACACCAGAGCAAACAACCTTGTCAGGAGTATTTGTGAAAATATGATCTAACAATGTTGAAGAGGAGTCTGTGATCCGAGTAGGTTCATTTATAAGCTGAGAAAGATTATATAAATCGGCAATATCCATGAGTGACTTCGAATCATGATCTAAGACTGTAGAGCTCAAATCACAGTTGAAGTCGCCCATGAGGTAATACTCGATATTTTCGGAATCGAGCATATCTAGAAGAATTTCAAAATAATTAAACATTGCTACAGGCGAATTAAGAGGCCTGTACCAAGTGGTAATAAGAAAAGGCCTGGCTCTAGGTTTATTAACTGAAATACACAGGTTTTCCAATTGCTCAAAAGATAGATCATGCCGAACTGAAAAATTTATACAGCTACGAATATAAAAACAAACCCCCCCGCCGAATCTACCATTGGAATCTCTATCTCGCCTAACAATTTCGTATCCAGGTATATGTACTTCGTTGTCACCAACCGTAGAGTCAAGCCTTGTCTCATTGTTAGCTATAAGAGTATATCATGAAACTGTGAGTGTACACTAAGCACAGCTATCATGCTATGTTTCAGTATATTTCTTATCTACAGTATACAATTCAGCATTTGAAAACCATCCTTGTATGCTTGCATGCACTAGTACTCAGTAAACTTTATAAGCAGAAACATGATGTTATTCAGGTCTCAAACTGTTATAGCTAAGTGTCTAATTGTAATAATACAGTACATACAGTATGCAAATACAGTATGTTTCTCATCAGATTAATAACTGTCTTCAATGTATGTACATATTTCTCCATAATTCTACAACAACTTTAAAGTTTCATTTTATAAATATTGTTATATAGCTGTATGAATATTTTAAAAGCTAAAACGTTGCTGACGAGATGTTCTTACGAAAATATTTTAGTTAATTAGTTGTTACCAACGTTGTTGACAAAGTAAAATTTGCTGAAGTTCCCTCATCTCATATTTTTTGATAACTTGGTCTATTTGCTTGAACTCTAGCGCTTTTTTGGCATATTTTACGGCATCGTTCGAATTATTATACCAGTTGTGCGCAATAGCTAGTGATGCATAGACTGTTGCCTTGCATGCGTTTGGCTCGTCACTGTCAGAAAGTTTCTCGACTGTTTCTCGAGCTGTTTCTAGATGTATAATAGCTTCATTTATACGGTAACAAAACGTCAGACATTTCCCAAGGTTTTTGAGTAGAAAAACGTGTTTTTCACTGACGTTAAGCCCCAAATTTTCACGCATTTCTTTCGCCAAGGTATACATTTCCTCAGCTTTGTCGTTATTTCGGACTGTCAGAAATTGATCTCCAAGATATTTGTAGCATGCTGATGTTAACTCGTGTTCACCTAGATCGTCTTGAGACAATTTAAGAGCTTCTTCATAAAACGTTTGTGCTATTTTCTTTGATTTTTCCGCAGCCTCTCTTTCTTCACGAACATATTCACCAGTGGCAATCTTCTTCCATATAGTTCCAAGATTTAATAACGAGAAAATCTTATCTGCTTTTTCCACGGACGTTTCGGTTGATGTATTCCTTAGGTTCAACGATTTTTCAAACTGTTCCCTTGCATTTATCTGAAGCTCTAGACGTTGTTTATCAAATTCACAGCTTTCGGATTTACGTGATAAGTATCTCCCGTACTGGTAATAATAATGAGCACAAAGTAATTTGTCATCCTTTAAATCTTGAGAGTGCATTTGAAACTCTTCCTTGATTGTTTCCATCATATTAAAGTACTCGCCGGCCGTACCAATTGATTTGCACCGTTCTCGGCCTGCTAACAGACATTTAAACTCTATTTTTATTGCATACTGCTTCCTTTCCTCGGCCAGTTTTGCGCACAGTTGTAGGAAATTGTCGACAATGTATTCCGGGATAATAGTTCTAACGAAGATGGTAAAGAATCTGGCTGAAGTGGTGTAAATGTTACTTGTGGTAAGGCAATTAGAGATGTCGGAGGTGGTGTCATTGTGCTGACAACAAATTTTAAGCACGTTGTGGATGTTGTGTGCTTCCTTCTTCAGAGCTTCTCTGTTAGATTTGTATCCGTTTTTGGAGTAACTCATTATGATCCAGTCGTGGCTTAACTTCAGGTAGTGTCCAACCATTAACGCTTCCGTCCGTACTCCTTCCTTCTTCCTATCTAGTTCATCCCTTAAAAAGAACTTGATCAAGAGATGAATCGAATATCGACGCTTGTGTAGTTGTTTAATCAAGTTTCGGCAAACTAGATTCTTTAAGATGCTTTTGATGTGTAAATTCTCTTTATCAACAACTGTTCTAGCAGCATCTTCATCAAAGCTTCCATCAAATACAGCCAAACGGACAACAGTTTCTTTATGTTCATTGTCTAACATTTCGTAAGAAATGTTGATAGCTCGATTTACATACTGGTCACGCTCAGGGCATCTCAGAGTCTTCATTGGCTGATTTTTTAGGTGCTGTAATAATTCATCGGAATTTTCAAAGTCTTCAACTTGAGAACCTGCGATACACATGGCAAGAGGTATTTTGCCACATAGGTTTGCCAAAGTTTGCAAAAAATTATTATCGTCTTTATGTTCAGGACACTGTTCTCCTAAAAGCGAAATGCATGAATCATCGTCCATCTCGCTAACCTGGACTTTAGCAGTTGAGAGATCAGGAATTTCGTAAGATGTTCTGGAAGTCGTGACAATCTGGCAATGCTGACTGGAATTCTTTCGCAATAGGCGAACAAACGCGAAGAAAGCAGTCTTTCCTTCAAGTAGGTTGTCGATATCGTCCATGACAAAAATTACTTTGCTTTTGATATTTTTCAACCAAAGAATCAGTGCTGACTTAGGGTTATCTTCATGATTAACACCTACATCGCGACATAGTCTTAGGATCATTTCATCTACACTGGTTGCGGTGCTTAAATGAGAGAAAATTACTGGAATGTTGTGCTCCTCACTGAGCTTATGCGACACCACGACGGCGATTGCAGTCTTACCGAATCCAGGTCCGCCATGAAGAGACACAACAGCTTTTCTTTCGTCGTGCAGAAAAGAAATAACTTTTTGAATTTCGGCTTCACGAGCAGTGAACATTGGAAGCTTATCTGGCAAGCAATTTGTTGGCTCTCTGGTAGAAAATTGCCCCTCATGGGTAGCAAACAAATCCATTTTTGCGGCCTATTAGATTTTTCCTTTCGTCTCAGTGCGATGAAAGATCTTATACCTAAAAAGAAAATAGGAAAAGTGGAACCGTTTTAAAGAGCATAATTTATAATAAAAAGGGAGTACTTTATTTGGTTTATACTAAAAGATCTTTCAAAATGTGAAGTAACCCTTTCAAGATTTTTGCGTCCCATGTTTGTTTGTTCAGATAAAATTCGTTAATTATAAAATAATAATCACGAAACGTTGAACACAATGGATAAGTGGATCCTGTATACCGATGATGTTTTCAACAAAAATCGTTGAGAAAAGCATGGGTTTATCTTCCCTTGCAAAGTACTAAATCCATAAAATACGGAATCTCTTTTGGAACGTTTCATACATGTTGAAATATTAATACGCAAAATTTGAAAATATTTGTACACAATAAATCCAGCGCAACAAAAAATCGCAATTCATTAAGGAGACTGTGACGTTTGCCGAGTTTACAGATCTTAATATCTTGATTGCCTTAATTATCTCTATAATCTTATGCAAATTTGCACGAATGTTACACCATGTGCCTTTGAAACCCGAGATAGGTGCCAAAGTCATCTAACACTTGCCTGCGTGTAGTAATCTTAGCGGACTTAAAAAAGAAAACTTATTGTGTTTTAGATAGCGCCCTAGATAAAACAACCGCGATCCGCTATGACCGCAGTGACTATGAACGCAACTCGCGTATTTATCCGAGGTACTGTTGCAAATTTGGCTACTTCACTTTCATTTATAATTTACTTGAAGCTATGGCGGGCAGAATGTGAGAAATATAAACTATTCTTGGAAATAATTTTGTCACGTTATGTCAAGGCGACTAGTCAAGTGGACTACATAATGAAAATAGAAGGTATCTGTGTCATTATTTCATGTATTTAGTTGTACATAATTATAAATAGAGTATTAGTTATATCATATCGTAAAATGTCGCGCGACAAGTCTGCAGTTTATGTCCAGATTAATATGTTGACAGAAGTGCTCTTTCTGAATATTTGTGTTGATTTACCGACAAAATTCGTAATAAAAGCTTTGGCAGGCAAATTTGTTGCTTTTACTATATTATATCCTCTTTTGCACTGATTTTATGTATTTTGATACGACTCAATGAAAGCATAACACCTTATAAAAGGTAATATATAATGTAATATAATATAATACACATGTACAGAGAACACAATCGCTACGCTAAAAAATGTTATGTGATAAAAATTAATAAGATAAAATGTGTCATAATTACTTTGCTTAGCCAAGCTATGTATTTGTTCAACAGTGTTCTCTCCTATTGTAGCTAATGAATTCAATACATTCTTCGCTTCAATTGAAGAGAACACTGTTGAACAATTACATCGCTTGGCTGAGTAAAGTAATTACGATCTTAACAACCAGTCCTTTGCCCCCAGGCAGTACCCCCAAGAACAGAAATTTTCGTTTAGAGCAGTGAAATATGAAGAAGTTGTAAATTAAATTAATTAAGTCAATGCCAGTAGGTAAAGTCCCAGGGAATGATAAATTAACAGTACGCGTTCTAAAAAACGGCCTGCCTTTAATTCTTCCTGTATTCACATCTATAGTATTATAAACGACTCTTATTAACACTGGAATTTTCCCTGCAATCTGGAAAATGGCTGAAGATAGGCCCATTTTAAAGCCAGGCGACCATGAAGTACGGGATAATAATTGTCGTATATCACTTTTACCGATACTCTCTAAGGTATGTGAACGAACTGCATTGAAACAATTCCTTCCAGATCTTGAGTTACACGAAGGAATATAGGCGAAGTAGAGTGGTAATAGGAAATTTCACTCCACCGAAATGTCTTTAATACAAGTCATATACACCAAGCTGATGCCTTTTAAATGCTATTGATCAACAGAAAATAACTGCAGTGGTCCTTTTGGGCATGAGTTAGGCGTGGTATCCCACGGTAATTATTTTTAGGAAATAACGAAATTTAATTTCTGCCAGGTATATTAGTTATTTTATGCATAATTAGCAGTTGACCCGGGGTGGTGCATGGTCATTTTCTGCTTGAATATTATACTTAGACAATACCAATAACCACCCCCAAAAGCAACCCTTCTAAACACTATAAACACTACAGAAAGGCTGTCGCTTTTGCTTTTCGGAAGTTAGAGCTATGTCAATACTGCCGTTACAGGGCGTGGTCATTTTCAGGACTTTCGTTCCTGATTCAGGTTTTGGCGCATATTCTATGTTGACCGCCACGGTCATTTTACCCTAAAAACAGTTGAGATTACTTGTGGTAAATGAAACGCATACAAACTCCTATATAGGTCCTAGACTTTACGGAAGTACGAAGTTCGTATGAAATTATATTTCAAAAAGACCGCCATCTTTGTTGTTATCAGGATTTGAAGAAACGCAATTGATAAAATACCGCCCGTGGACAGCACGCCTGTTTGAATCAAAATTAAATATACACCTGTTTTAGTCGACTAAAATATGAATTTAATTTCTGCTCATGAAAAGCTAGTACGGAATCTAAACTGGGCCCTAATACGAAAGTTGAAAAAATGTACAAAACTGCTAGAAGTACATGCATGCACCAACATCTCGCCCTTTCTTTACAGAACGGCTATAATTCCAATTATACAAGGGGTTGGGGTTATATGAGTGAACGAAGGGAGAAATATATGAGAATACAAGCTGTATAGCTTACCTATTTGTGTTTCGGATCACCTTTTAACACTAGGTGTCACCCCCAAAGTAAACAAAAATGTAGATGATACACCCCCTGAAAGGCGCCATCCCATAATCACCCAGTGGCTTTTTAACACTAATCGTGTTCACCACTCTGGGAGGGTACATGACACTGATCTATTATTGATCAGTGATTACATGGGTGGGAACTCATATATTTCTCCCTTCGTTCACTCATATATAACCCCAATTATACTAACATGCTTACAGCCCTTGTATAATTGGAATTATATTTCATAAACTCCGGTCGAAATATATGAGAATACATGCGGTGGATTTCAACACTCGATGAGTAGCGAAGGGATGTAAATGTTAAGGCGTTTAATTTTTACTTTTTTTATAAACAAGTATATTTACACGCCTCGATAACATAATAAACAACAATAATTACGAAAGTACTGCATGTCCAAAGCTTGTCGAGAAAACTGGTCTATAATAGAACTGTTGAAAGGTTGATGGATTAGACCAATCAGCCATGTTTAAAATTTCTTGCAATGGCACAAAGGCTTTGGCTGCTGCGGATGTGGCTGCGCCTCTGACTGAATGTGTCTTGAAGACAGACGTATCAACCCCCGCTTCTTTCAAAAATGAACGACTCCAACGAGCAACAGTGGCAGTGATCACTGCCCGATGAGGTTTAATATGCGAGATAAAGAGAATATTAAGTTCTTCCACTGACGGTGGCCTAAAGCCTTTTGTGAGGGACAAATAAGTTTTAAGGCAGTCCACCGGACACAAAGCAACATCTTTTGCGAAACTGGAAAAGAAAGCCGATACAGTTTCGTCTGGACGAGATGTCTTTGTTGGTGTTGTCAATGTGAAGACAGCACCTTCTGGGGAAAGTCGATGATGGTTAATATCAAGTTTTGCCAGTGATGAAACGCGCTTAGGACAGGTAAGCGCTAACAAGGTTGCCAGTTTGAGAGAAAGTTGCTTTAACGATAACGAAGAATTGCTGCCCATATGTTCTGTTACCTGGCGAACGTCCCATGTATACGAATAACGCGGCTTTGGGGGCCGATGGTTGAGGATACCCTTCATGAGATTGAGAACATAAGGGTGTTGCCCCACCACATAACCATCAATCTTGGGATGTGTGGAAGACAAAGCAGAACGCAATACATTGATGGATCGATATTGAAGACCGTCGTAGAAAAAATCAGCAAGAAACGACAGTATGTTATTCAGGGATGCTGAAATAGGATCAATTTGTCCTGAAACACACCAGCTGCACCAGCGTTTCCAGCTGGATTCGTATGTTTTTTGTGTGGAAAGTCGAGTTGCTGAGACGAGTAGTTCGGTAACGTTTCTCGAAATGCCCCCTGCTTGATATCGTTGCTGGAGATATGAAACCCGCCCAGATGAACTCGTGAGATCATCGGATGAATTTGTTGAGGATCTGTCGGGTTTATCAGAAGTTTTGTTGAGGTTGGTAGACGAATTGGTTGCTGCACCAGCAGACTGAGCAGTAGTGGCCACCAAGGCTGAGCTTGCCATAGTGGGGCCACTAGAACAATTTCTGTCTTGTTCGAAACGACCTTGTTGAGAACTCGCGCAATTAAGTTGAATGGGGGGAATGCGTAACCCGCTAGGTGTTTCCAATTCACGCTGAATACATCCGAATGAAGAGACTGGGGATCTGGCCTCCAGCTTATGTAAGTCGTCAGTTGATGGGTAAGTCGCGAGGCGAACAGATCTGTGGAGCAGCCCTTCAGAAAGGGGCGGATAATTATCGGGTCTAACATCCAGTCGCTGTTGTCCCAAAATCCTCTCGACTCTCGATCTGCAACCACATTGGTTTTCTCCGGAACATGGTATGCTATTATGTACAGATCGTTCTGAATGCACCAGTTCCAAAGTTAAAGCGTTACCTGGAGGAGTTCTGGGAGTGAGTGCCTCCCTTGTGATTGACGTAAGCCACTGCGGTTGAGTTGTCCATGTTCAGAGATACTATTTTCGAATGTTCATTCTTCATAAGAGATTGCATTCCCAGCATAGCACCTTTCAGCTCGAGAACATTTATATGTAACAGCTTCTCTGTGGCTAACCATCTCCCGTTGGTCTGAAACTTGCCGCAGGCAGCCCCCCAGCCCTTCGAGGAGGCATCCGTGAAGATTGTAATGTCTGGTGTAGGGGGAATAATTGGGCTGCCATTGACTTTCTCTAAGTTCTGGAGCCACCAGTTGATTTCCTGTTTGGATTGAAAGCATAAAGACACTAGGGTTTCGTAATTGTGCTGTGATTGGTTCAGACCTTTGATTAGGAGGGCCTGTAAGTAACGGAAATGAAGAGGTGCTTTCCAAACTGCTTGGCGGTATGACTCGAGCAGTCCCAATAATTGGGCTAAAATTCGAAGAAGAACCTTCGATCCTGAGCGAATCTGACGACATAGTGTTAGTAGTTTCTGCACCTTTTCTGGGGGCAGAATGAAGAGCATTGTTATCGAATTGATCGTAAAGCCAAGAAATGTGATTATCCGAGTTGGGATTAGTGCCAACTTCTCTTTGTTTATTATAAAACCCAGAGATTCCAGGAGATTCATGGCCATCTGAGTGAATAGACGGGTCTCCTGTGGGGTTGATCCGATGATGAGCATAATTATCGTCCAAGTACAGGACTAGGCGGATGCCCCGTTTCCTTAAGAAACCTGCTACTGGTTTCATTAAGCGGGTGAACACCGATGGTGCTATATTTAGACCGAATGGAATAGAACAGAACTGGTACGCTTTGTTTTGCCATAAAAATCGAAGGAATTTTTTACTCTGTGGGTGTATCGACACCGAAAGGTACGCATCCTTCAGATCTAACTTCGTCATGAAATGACCTTGCTTCAGGAGAGCCTTTACTGTAGTCAAGTACTCCATTTGAAAGTGAGGGGTTTCGATAAAGCAATTTAGGGGGCTCAGATCTATAACTGGACTCATATCCCCGTCCTTTTTGGGAACTAAAAATAACCGACTGTAAAAACCGTCTTTTGTAAAGGGAACCTCGCATATTGCCCCTTTCGCTAGCAGGTTTTGAACTTCCTGCTCTAAAATTGGAACTGACTCCGGAAGTGTCTTTGTCACTTGTGGCGACGTTTGAAATGGAACACAACGAAAAGGAATGTTTATTCCTGTAACAATTTCTAACAGCGCAGGGTCGGAGGTTATAGTTTTCCATTGTTCGATGAATTGTGGGAGTTTCGCTGCTGTGACTGTTGAAACCGAGGGGGACGGAAAAATTTTTGCTTCTGGCGAAAATTTTGATACTTTCCGTTTTTTGGAAAAATATTGTGATTGTTGAAGAGGCCGGATATCGCGACCTGTAACCGGGTTTAGGTTTGTCAAACTTAGGTACCGGTGCCAAATTCTTGGCGAGACCACGGGATAATTCTGCCTCTTTAGACGAGATGGAAGGAAAATCTTCACCAAAAAGCAATTTCTTTGCATTTAGCAATGGTTGAGTAGCTAGGTTAATTTTGGATTTGTTTATTGAAGCAAGTACTTTCTTGCGACGTAATATAGACAATTGTGTATTTGCAGAACCCAGGAGACAAAGAGTTTGTTCCAATATTAATTTGAGATCTGCCGGCTTTAGGCTATTATCTTGCTCGAGTTGATCATGCAATGTGCATAATGGGCCGGTAGCGTTAAGCATGGCACGTTGACTAACTGCGATCTCTTTGTCGCGTTCTTGTATGAATTTTTTGTTTTGAACCGCGACATGTTGAAGCATGGGAGGGTCAAGAGTTGGGGCTACAAGAGCATCAACTGAAGGAACAGCTTGTTCCTCTAGTATGTCGCATACTTGATCAATTGTTAATTTTCGGCGGAAATGTTTTTCCAGAAAATTTGTAAATTCATCTGATGGGGACCACGAAGTGGCCGCAATCTCAGGGTCGTATATCATAAAGTGAGCATTAAGTGTTGACGAAAGCCGACAAGCCGAATTTGTTGGCTAAATAGCCGGGTTTGGTGGCTGAATAGCCGAATTTGGTGGCTGAATAGCCAAAACTGGTGGCTGCAAAGCCAAATCGTCTTGTTGATCCCAACTTGAGCGGTCGAAATCGTTTCCCACCCGTTCGAGAGTTTCGAGAACTTGGTCGTCTTGGAGGGATTCAGAATCGCCGTTAAGCGTGTAGTTGTTTTCTAAGCTTGCTATTCTCGTAGTACACGAGTTTATGTCGGATTTAGATCTTTAACACATTCAAAATAGTACTCAACGTTTCCTGGTTGTCGTCACTAGAGCGAGAAGACTTCTATTTCTTCGACTGTGACCTTTGATGCGAAGATTCTGGCGAACGAGAACGCTTACGATGACGATGGCTCGACATAATTTGTAAAATATATGGAGGTATCTGTAGGTCCTCTAAAAAATGAATAAATTGCCTAAAGAACGACAAAAAAGCGACCAAAAAACCCTCTATATTAAAACTTACCTGTTGGTGAGCGAAGCACAAGGTAAAAAAGCCACTGGAGGATTATGGGATGTCGCCTTTCAGGGGGGTGTATCATCTACATTTTTGTTTACTGTGGGGTGACCCCTAGTGTTAAAAGGTGATCCGAAGCACAAATAGGTAAGCTATACCGCATGTATTCTCATATATTTCGACCGGAGTTCATGAAATATAATTCCAAAATATTTTTATAACCTGAAGTACTTCATGATTGGAAACAACTGTAATTGCTATGGTAACATAAACATAATATTTTTAGTTTTAAAAACTACGAAATTCTTAAATTCAACCTAAAAGGCCAAATAATTAAATAAGGTAAAATTCAGAATCATTAACTTTCAAATTCTAGATGTAATGTTTGCCTTTATTTGGCGTTTGGATTCATTTTAATGTAGAATTAATGTACAAATAATCTTATCAAGAAATGTAGAAATAATTTGTAAAGAAATTTCGCGGGTTGATGTAGGAGGAGCCCTACGGTTCAAAATCGTCAAAGCAAATCAGAGAGTTAATCCCGTGTCAAACAAGGATGAGAGTGCATGAGAATTGGCAGTACGCAGCCTGCCTTAGTTAAACTGTTCTTAACATTGTCTTGTATATTTTTCGTTAAAACGTATAGTTTGAAAAGTTCGTCAAAACGTATAGTTTGAATCGAACGTCTTAATCAAGATGTTGAGATGTCCTATGTAACAATACCTGACTGACAACGCTCATCAACTCTCGTCTTGGTTTTATCGTAGCTTTACATTTAATTTTGCTAAATGAAATGGCGCAAAAGTATGAAAAACACATTTTACTATTAATAATTATCATATATATAGGCCCCTAATTGCTGCATTTGGTACGGCTCATGACAAGCACGATTGTATGAAACAACCCATGCTTCAGTCGTCAAACACGTCTGAACAAGGCGAATAATTTACTTCTGCATGCCGTGCATAATATAAAGTAGAGTGCTTATTTGATTCAGACGCCGTGCTTCTTATGCACTTATTAATTCGGTTCTTGAACAGTACGTCTAATCCGGGCATTATAATTAAATAGTGTTGAAAGATCATCTCATTAATGTTGTCATATTTTTTAAAGTCCTTTTATTGCTTTCTCATGAAATTTTTGTTGGGAAATTATTATTATATGGATATAGTCGAAAGACTTACCTTACTTTCCAAAAATAAAAAGACTATGTGACTGCAATTCTGTTAATTAATCAAGATTGCAATAGGAGCCGTTCAAACCTTATGACTGCTTTCCACTTAAGCATTTTTCATACCTTCGTATACAGCTATTTCAATTAAGGTTGTCCGCGAGCAAAGCGGAAAATCGAATACGAGGGCGAAAGGCTACTTGGAATCGCTAACAAATTAATGAATTTTCAAAGCGATTCCCAGCAGCATTTCGCGCTCGTATTCGACTTTTTCGCTTTGCTCGTGGACAACATACATACATACATCAACTTTATTTAAACACGGAAAATCATCAGTATAGTTATTTACAAAAATATTAAAATATTTTAAAAGGAGCAAAAAGAAATATAGATACTGTTCTACCTGATTGCCGTGTGGGAGTCAGATCGATTATTTATTAAGAAGGCTTCTAAACCTGTCTTAAATGCAGCGAGCGAGGTTACTGATCTAAGAGATTCTGGCAGGCCATTCCATAAAGAGGCTCCACTGTAACTGAAGGAGCGTTTCAAATAATCTGTGCGTGGTTTTGGGACATAAAGTTTACCATAAGAATCGCTCAGGTTATAAACACTCTCACTGGGAGAAAACATCTCTTGTAAATAGAATGGTGTATGTTTATTAATAGTATTAAACATGAGGATTGCCTTTTGCTTTAATCGCTTAGTGGACAATGATTCCCAATTAAGTTCTTCAAGAAGAGAACTTGATGAAATATCATAAGATGAACGGGTAATAACACTGGCGGCCCTATTCTGTAATTTTTGTAATTTTTCGCTTTGCTTTTTACCTAGGCCATCCCAAACAGGGGCACAATAGGAAAAATAGGGCTCCACCAAACTTTGGTAAACTCGAATTGCAGTTTCTGTGGTAATAAAATCTCTCATTCGTTTGAGAGCACCGATACCCGAAGAGATTTTTTTGGTGATATTATCAACATAATATTTCCAAGTCAAGTTCTCATCAATTGTTAAACCTAATGACTTAGACTTCAGCACTCTATTAATCTGTTTATTGTTAACACATACTTCCACATTCTGATTATCAAAGGTTGAAAGTCTTTGACGAGATCCAATAATCATAAATTCAGTCTTGGCAATATTGAAACTTAACTTATTTGCCTCTAGCCATGTGTTTAAATTGGATATTTCAGCATTCATAAGATTTTCTAGCTCAGAAAGATTATTACTTTGCATGCTGATGTTCGTGTCATCAGCATACATTCTAGGTATACCCTCGTTCAAGCAGTTAGGCAAGTCATTGAAATAGATCAAAAACAGAAGTGGGCCTATAATAGAGCCTTGCGGAACTCCATGGGAGATAGAACGACTACCAGAGAGTTTGCCATTTACGTAGCATTTCTGTTTTCGATTGTTTAAATAGGAACTAAACCACGATAGCGCATTGTCATCCACACCATAACACTTGAGTTTACGTATAAGAATTTCGTGATCAATTGTATCGAAAGCTTTCTTTAGGTCAATGAAGATCACTCCGTTAAGCAAACCCTTATCAATATTTACGCACCAGTTATTACTCGACTCTAATAAAGCTGTAACGGTACTATATGATGCTCGAAACCCTGACTGATAGTTCGACAGTAAGTTGTTACTTGTCAGATAGGAGTAAAATTGGTCATAAACGGTTCTACCAAAAACTTTGGCAACCGCCGATATAATTGAAATTGGACGATAATTACTTAGATCACATTTGTCGCCATTTTTGAATAACGGTAAGACTTTTGCCATTTTCCAATCAGTCGGATAAATCCCCATAGAAAGCGATCTATTAAAAATTCTGGTTAACGAGGGGGAAAGAATATCAGCGGCTATTTTCAATAATCTACCTGGGATTTTATCAGGGCCGGTCGCTTTGTTAGCATTAATCGTTTTTAGCAAACAATTTACAGTGGACAAACCAATTTCCTCGAAAGAAAAAACACTATGTGTGGATTGAATATAAGAAACGGGATTAACATTCGAGCTAGGTATTTTGTTTGCAAGTTTCTCTCCTATCGAGGTGAAATATGAATTAAAGGCATCCGAAATTTCAGCCGCATTAGTGATTTCATTACCGTCAAGATTGACTTTCTTGACACTGGTTACATCACTCACTTTACGACAGTTCAGATCGTTGACTAGTCTCCAAGTTTTCCTTGGATCTTTTCGTGCAGCCTCAATATTAGTGATAAAGTAGTTATGTTTAGCCTGCCTAATAGTGTTGTTAGTTTCATTTCGAGCTTTCTATATTGTAACCAAATTTCATCGTCACGTGTAATATCGAATTGCCTTTTTAGATAATCTCTTTCGCGAATTTTCTGAACTACATGTGAAGTAATCCAGGGAGACTTTCGTTTCCCTATACGTTTCTTTTTAAGTGGGGCATGTTTATCAATCACAGACATAAACAAATTCAACCATTCAGTCCACATATCATTAGGGTCGTCATGCAGACAAACCTGCTCCCAATTTAGATTATTTAAATCATTCAAATATGCATGTTCATTGAAGTTTCTGAAATTTCTCTTTTCAACAAAAGTATTTACCGGTGCCTTATGATATGTACATTTCCGAATAAGGTATACCAGAGAATGATCACTTATACCAATTTAAAAGTTTGTTATGAAATAACTAAATGAGTAAGAGCACAGCATTTAGTTTTGTGTATGATTTAAAGAGTAGCTATTTGTTGAGGTAGCCTAATTAGTACTTATATAGAATTAAGAAATATTTAAACTTTTCCGACCACTAATAATATTTTTAATAAATTTTAGAGTTTTTATCCATTAATGCAAATATCTGTTGGGTCTTGGCACGACTGTAAATACATCTACACTATATGCCAGCGCAGAAATAAAATACCTAGCTGTACATGTTTAAGCCTACATAAAGTATAACATTGTATAATAAATTAAAGCTCTATGGAAAATACAGTGTGTATAATTTTTTCTTTTTTTAGGGCATGGATCCCACAATTAAAATTTTCATTATAAAATAAGCTCGTCAGCACATATATCGCAGCAGCATGCCGTGATGGCAGTCCCACTATATTTGGAAGTAGGAAATCGATAACATACACTCATCTATAAATTTTAACAGTGGTATTAAACTTCACGTTTGCGAAGATCTTTATCACAAAATACACCTCCTTTTAAATCACCCTAGCGACCAAATGAATCTTGTTATTTTTATATTAATATCTGATGCTTATATTTTGAACTCTATATTGGATTGTCGTCTGGTCACTGAAAACTAAAGCCGGATAGAAATACA